CGGGATAGGGGATGAAGCATGATCAGATTGACCCCACAAGTCCGGCAGGCCATCAAAGATACCGAGAAGAAAATAAGGGTTGTTTATAGAGTTGTTTCCCATTGGGGAAGTGAGTATGTGCCCTCTCGGGAGGCGTTCGACTCAGACTCCATGCCAGAATATGTTCCTGACCGGCCAGAGAGGAACAAATCGAGAGATACACCTCCGGGCTCTCCTACTGCCCAAGTGTCAGTGCAAATTTCTTCTGAGTCATCTGAGGGCTTAGCTGCGGGCAGTGACAGTGCCTCTTCTACCTCACATACAGCTTCAATACCGGATGAGGATCCCGTAGAAGAAGAAGGAGGGGGTGAGCCCCAAGTAGGAGGAGTAGAGAGAACCAGGAAACCGGAAGCATGGCAAGATAGATTCATGAGTGAAGTGGTCTACCACAAGTTCAGAGAATGGTGGCCCAAGAGGAAGCTCCACTTCTACAGTTGCAGATATCCCCTCATCCGCAGCATACCCTTTGACTCACCACCGCTTGAGCCAGACCCTTGCTAGTATCAATAACTGGATGCAGGCAGCCACCTCTTAGTTGTCTGTACTTTCTACTTCGGTGGCAGCCCAGTCTATACCTCCTCAGCCATAGGTCCCACAGTCAGTGGAGGACACTCTCAAGGAGCTTCTGGAGAACTAAAAGAAGCTCTTAGAGAACCAAACGTTGATCTTGGATGTTGTTGATACTCATGGAAAGGCATTGAAGGAGCTTGCTAAGGAGACAAAGAAGCTGAGAAAGACTCGTTCTTCCAAGGAGTCCATGAAAGAGTTGAGGGTGGAGGTAGAGCAATTGAAGGCCGATCAGCTGCCTTTGGAGCTTTTATTGCATGACTCGGTTCCAGCAGCCCAACCTGAGCCGGAGCAGGAGACAGAGAGGACAGCAAAGAAGAAGAGGGTGATTCCCTGTGATGATGATGCTGTGATAGAGTTAGAGGACCCGCAGGAGGTTCCTCTAGCCAGCCCCAGATTCCAATACAGGCCTAGAACCCCGTGCAAACACAGGTGACAGAGATCCAATCACAGGTTCCCAAGCAGTCTGAGGACCCAAGGATCCAGACTCATGATCCTATGTAGACGGAGGGCCAATAGGGAGTTTCTTTTTACTCTCTATCTTTTCTTGTGCTTATTTTGGTTAGTTAGCATTGAGGACAATGCTAGCTTTCATTTGAGGGGGTAGCCCTATTTTGGATAATTTGGGTTGTATATATGACATAACTTTCTTTTTATAATGATTTCTTTTTACTTTTGGTATTACATAATTTTATCATTTTAGTTCACTTTTCGTACTTTGCAACTTTGGTCTGTATATAAAGTTACGTTTTGATGTATATATTCATTCCCCCTTATGTATATTCATCTAAATCCCCTTCTGTACATATTCATTCTACTTTTCGCATTTTCTCTTTCATAGCTTCTTATTTCATTTTGATAGCTTCTTATTTTGAGTTTTTGCGTGCAATAAGCCTTTGGTTTTCTTAATGCCACGGTTCTTTCCAAAGGTGGAATTTGTGTGAACCGAGTGGCTCTTTCCAATGATGGATGGAATGACAACCTTCTTAAGGGTTTGAGCATGTTTTCTTTTTGCTTTCTATGTAAAAAGTAGCTAGTGAGCAGTGGTGCCTCAAGCAAAGCTTCACTTGGGCCTAACACATTTGTCTTTGATCCTATGGTCAAAAACAAATTGTTATGTATAGGATGGTGAAAGTTGTGACCTTGAGATTCTTGTGTTGGCCGATAATCATCAAGTGGTTTTTTGGGACCATTGTGTTGCTCAAATCTTAGCTAAGGTTGGTGTGGACCCCCGACTCTATCTCTTTAGCAATCCTATAGCATGTGTTGTGAGAATTTGAATTTCAAGTCCAAGTCCCGAGCCATAAGTCTAGAACTTGCCCTGAATGTTTGTCTAGGCGAAATCCTAAGTGTACTTTGACTTGAGATGTGATTATAGGCTCTCCTTGATCTGAATGATATCTTGAAAACTTCCATTAGCCTACCAATGATAATATACCTAGTCAACCCTTTTGAGCCATAGACCTTTTTCTTTCAAAAATTATGATACAAGCCTTTACCCGTTCTAAAACGACCCTCTCTTGGCACCCTTTCTTTCCTTAGCACAAGGCAAAAGCATAAGTTTGGGGTAGAGACAAGAAATGCAACAAAGTGGTAATAGGTACAAAATGAAGAAAAGGAAAGGCAATGAAAAAGAAAGAAAATCAAAAAGTCAAAAAGAATGAACAATCTAGAAAAAATGAAGGGATTCAATAAAAGAAAAGAGATGAAAGGTGTGGAATGTTTAGAAAGGAAAAAAAGGTTTGAAATGAACAAGAAAGAGTGACTATGTGTCTCTCTAACCCCTAAGAAAGAAGTTAATTACTCAAAAAGTCAAGAAAATGTGTGCAAAAATGAAGTGCTTAAGGGAAGATGGAATCTACCTAGACCAAATATTTCTTACCCTAAACCAAAAGCCTTCACTATAACTCCACAAAAGCCCTATATGATCTTGAGTTGAATGAAGCTAACATTAGTGGTGACTCACATAAGGGGCAAGCTTATGGTACTTAGAGCCGGACTTGTGACCTTAATTTGAGAGAGATGAGTGTGTTTCTACTGTCCTCGTTCTGAGTGTTACAATATAAAAGGGAGGTTTGCTTAGGGAGAGTTGAGGATGTATGAGTTTGGGTTCCACAACGACCAAAGTAGTAAAAAGAGTTCTCTTGATGGGTTGAGTCAATTCTTGATGCTCTTGTGTCACACTAAAACCATGGTGTTTAAAAGAGTGAATGTTGTTAATGATTCATTTGAATTGAGGGCAATTGTTAGTCCCAATTGATGCTATATGAGGTCACTTTAGGTCAGCTGAATTTTCTTGGATTTACTCTTAAGAGGTGGGTCTTATTTTGTTTGCTTGAGGACAAGCAAAAGCTTAAGTTTGGGGGAGTTGATAACTAGGGATTCTAATTCATTCTACACTCCTTTTTACTTGAGTTTTGATTAAAAATATATACAAAATAGTCCCAAAGGCTTACATGTTGTACTTGTTTGCAGGGTTTGATCAAAAAGGTGATAATTAGTCAAAACCGGCTCAAAAAGGAGTGAAACATGCACAAGTACCAAGAACAAGTCAAAGCACAGCTGCAACAGGCCCACCGCGGCCGCAAGCCATTTTGTGCGTTCCACAGTGAGGAGATTCAGAGAGGTGCACTTTTGGAACCTAAGTCAATGCGGATCGCGGAGGATTTAGTGCGGTCGCAGTGGCCTCTTTCCAGCCGCAACACATTTTGTGCAGTCCGCAAAGAAGGGGGTTCAGAGAGTTAGGAATTGGAAGATGAAGGCCAATGCGGTCCGCGGTCCTTTTTGTGCGGACCGTAGTTGAAGCCATCACAGCCGCGGTGCATTTTATGCGGCCCGCGGTGGCCAGAGTAAGAGGATGATTAATCAAGCCAAGAAGCCTCATTGCGGTCCGCGGTGCATTTGTGCGGACCGGACTACCTCGTCAGGGGTATTTTTGTCCAGAAAATTTTGCCTAGTATAAATACTTTTTTCCACATTTTTAGGGTATCTTTTGTAATCTGAGAAAGACTAGAGCACATGAACGGCTGTATTAGGCTATTTTGAGTAATTTGTAGCTACTTTAACACTGAATTTTCTTTATCTTTGTTTGTAATTAAATCTTATGGGTTATTCTTCATCTATTTATCAGTTTTCTTCCATTATTATGAGTAGCTAAACCCATTAGCTAGGGTTGTGGCTCAACCCTAGTGTGGGTATTTGATGGGTCTTGAGTTTTAAGGCTTGAATGTTTATGGGTGTTTGATATTTGGACTAATTTATGTTGTCCATTTTGAATTAGTGGTTGCAAACGCTAATTTGTGCCTTTTTGACTTGGGCCCTTCTTGAGAAAGAGAGCTTGAGTCTAGAAAAATTAGTCCAACAAGGAATTGGGGCGTACTCAAGAGATTGATAGCCCCAATTAAAGGGTTAAACCTAGAGATAGTAATACCTGACTTGAACCTAAATTGCTTGCACAATTATCATACCCAATTGGTCTTGAGAAAGTCAATTAGGGCAAAATCACTCAAACTACCGAGAGGTATAGAGTGAGAAGTTTCGTGCATTGGTTATATCGTAATCCCTAACATGACGACTTTGCCTTAGATTCGAGAACCCGTCAAGTATTTACCTAGGAGAAAGTCACTTCCCTAGTACCTCTTTAACCATTTAGACAACCTTTCAAGTATCTTACTCTTAGCTTAATTTAGCATCTTATTAGCATAATATTAGAAGTAATCAAAAGACCAACTATGATTGGAAGTGCAATTAAAATCACTATGCATTGCTAGTTTGGATAGGAAACCAACTCATACTTCTAGCTCCCTGTGGATTCGATCCCGGCCATTTTGGGTAAAAGCTGCTTCGACCACTCTTGTCACTCTATAGTGTTGTAGGGTTGGCTCCGATCAATGATCAAAACAATCCTAAGGGTCCTCAGAACAGTGTTTTGGAAAGAGTTAAGCGCAAAAAAGTGATGAGGCCTCGCTTCACAGAAGCGAGAAGCGAAGCGCGCATCTTTTTGTTGTGAAGTGCAATTTAACACATAAATAAAAAAATAAAATAGGGATAGATAAATGGCTAAGAACTCATTAAAAATAACATATTAAGCAAATGTTTCAATTCTTGAATCAAGAAGCAAATAATAGATACTAAAACTAGATAGTGAATAATCCTCAAAAGTCATAACATATTAAGCAAGTGCAAAACAAAATCACAAAAGGAGCAACATCCTATTCTTCAACAGGATCTCCAAACTCTTGAAGTGTCATCATGTTCGAGTTATTATATTGGTCATCATCTTCTTCTTCTTCATCGGAGTCTTCATTAATTAGGGTTCTACTTGTACATGTACTTTTACTTGTAGATACTCTTTCTTTGCTCCTTAAAGTACTTCCCCTAAAACCATAAACATTTTATTCAACTCCACTTGCCATAGCAACATGACCAAAAGTGAGACCTTCTCCTTCAAACACTTCTTCTTCTTCATGATTTTTGGGGCCTCCAGTTAACCATTCATTTGCTTCATCAATGTTATCCAATAAAATTGGATCAATGATATTGCGAGATTTGTAACGAGAGCCAATGTTCTATTATATTTTACGAACAACGAGATCATTGAGTTTCTTTAGCTCAAGTCTGTTCCTCTTCTTAGTATGAATCTGCATAATAAGATGTAGAAAGTAACTAAGAGGAGGACTTAGGACAATTGAGATAAACTTTAATTTAGTAATAATGTAATATAGCTTCTCACATGTTCATAAACACTCTAATTTCTCTCGCATCTGGATGGGCTACAAGTTAAGCTTTGAACTCTAATAGCAAATTGTTGCAAGTTAGGAACTTCATAACCAAATTGCATCCACCATTCAACTGTAGAAGTATTATTTTAGAAGTTAATAACTTGAAAGTTAAATCTCTAAAGAGTAAAACAATTGAAAAAAATTGCTCACCCAGTGCCAATTTGGTTCTGCCTCTAATGGCCGAAGCTAATCCAAGAATTCCATCGGCTTGCATATACACACCAAGCTCTTGCCCTATTTTGTCTTGCTTCACTTCATCTGGCACCAACTTCGCAACACGTGCATGATACGCCTTCCAAAAATTTAAATCTAAAGTCTTGTTCTCATTGTTTGTGTAAAACAATCCGAGGTTCAAAATATGCCATGCTGCATGTAAAGGTTGATGAAGCTGATCATCCCACCTTTTATCAATGATTTCAAACACTCTCTCATATTTCCTCCTATCATGATCAAATGCCTTCTCAATAGCTTCTTTAGCCCTATCCATGGCTTCATAAATGTATCCCATTGGTGGTTTTTTCTCCCCATCCACCAAACGAAGTACACTAACCAAAGGATTACCAACTTTAAGTGCTTGAACAATGTCATTCCAAAAATATGGACCAATAATAAATCTCGCAACTTCTTTCCCAAGAGTTTCCTTTGCATAGATACTCTCACTCCATTCGGTTGACAAGACCAACGTTCGCAAATTTTGCTTTTGCAGGTAAACGTTATGCAAGGTCAAGATAGCTGTTGTGAATCTTGTCTTAGCCGGTTTCACCAAATTTCTTTGTTTTTTGTATCTTCTCATTATGTTCAACAACAACGGCCTTGGACTAATGTAAGAATATATCTTGATCGCCTTAGCAAAAACTGTACAAAGTCAATTTTCATAGTTAGTAAGTATAAGCTATTAACATTAAGGTTAAAAACATAAAATAGAAAATAAGAACCACTTGTTCACCTGTAGAATATGGGGCTAACTTGAAAATGTCACCAAACATCAAGTTGATACAATGTGCAGCACAAAGAGTCCAATAAATATTTGGAAAAACTCCTTTCAACATGCCACCCGCTTTTTTATTCTCACTTGCGTTATCAGTGACAACTTGAACCACATTTTCCTGTCCAACATTCAATATTGTCTTATCAAAAAATTGAACATTTTATCGGAATTGGTTGAGGAGTCACTAGCATCAGAAGATTCAAGAAACACACTACCACTCGGAGAATTCACCAAAATATTAATGACCATTTTTTCATTATTTGCAGTCCATTTGTCCATCATAATGGAACAACCATAAACTTTCCATTGCGCCTTATGCTCCTCGACAATCTTGTCTGTCTTTTCCACCTCCTTTTTTTAGACAAGGAACTCTTACTTCGTGATAGATAGGGGGCTTCATTCCCGGGCCATATTGGCCAACGGCCTCAATGAATTCACTAAAACTATCGGTGTAATTTACACAATTAAAAGTAAGCCCTGCATCATACATCCACCTTGCAAAAGCATCTACAACACGCTCCCTCAAACTCTTCCTACAAGATTCTAAGTCAACATCTTCACCCTTTCTCTTTTCATTTGGTTTTTGTGAGAAAAAAAGATTAAGAAAACCTTTCACATTGCTACCGGCAGTGGATGATCCACTTCCACTTGTTGAATTATTTCTTTGAGATTTAGAGGGAGGTGGCCTCATTATATCATTGACTTCATCGTCATCCTCATCCATTTGACTATCTTCATCAAGAAAATTAATCATAGATGCTCCATGGCTCATTGGATTTTTTAACTCATTTTTTTCTTAACATAATCTCTCATTTATTTCTTAACAGTAACCGAAACACTTGGACATTCTTTGACATCTCTAAAACCACCGATTAGATGTCTCTTGTGACGATATATTCCACCATTATAAATTTTTTGACAAAAGATACATTGTACTCTTGAGTTATTATTGTCAACTGCAACTCCATACGCCCAAGCTGGATCTCTTTTTTGGCTTGATGCCATTGAATAATCAAATTAAATTTACTACAATAAACAACCAAAAAAATTACAATTAATTCACAGGACAAAACAGAAAACAGAGCATAAAGGGCACTTTTAATAACAGAAACAGAGCAGCATAATAGAAGAAAACAAAGCATAAAGAACACTTTTAATAACAGAACAAAAAGAAGTCATTTAGGGCAACATATGAGCGCTTAATCTAGAGAAAAAAATTGAAAGAAAAACAGAAGAGAAGAAGAATAACAGAAGAAGACAGAAAATAGAGCATGAAGAAGAAGAACAGAAGAACTGAAGAAGAAGACTAGAAGAAGAAGAAGAAGAAGAAGAAGAAGAAGAAGAAGAAGAAGAAGAAGAAGAAGAAGAAGAAGAAGAAGAAGAAGAAGAAGAAGAAGAAGAAGAAACTTACCTGTTTTGGAGCAGCAGTGGTCTGTCGCAGACTAGAAGAAGAAGAACTGAAGAAGAAGACTAGAAGAAGAAGAAAAAGAAACTTACTTGTTTTGGAGCAGCAGTGGTCTATCGTAGTGTCGCTGGAGTTCGTTGGGCTGGAGAAAAAGACCAGTGTATGGTTTGGTAACAGATGTCTTTGGAGCGTATGTTTATTTGCCCAAAATTTTTAAAAAAACCCTAGCTTCAGCCTTCTGCTCGCTTAAGCGAGATTTTTATCGCTTTTCTTAACGCGTCACTTCTCGCTTAAACGAGAAAAGCGCACGTTTTTCTAGTGTGAGTCGCTTTTTTTCTAGAAAAGCGTAACCCCTGTGCCTCGCTTCGTCGCTTAAAGCAAGAAGCGAGCTCTTTTAATAACCTTGCCTCAGAAGGTATACTACCAAAGCGAATAGAAAATAACTTGGTGAACATGTCAAACCTTTTCAACCCCTCGGAAGACAACGCAAGTTCGACTATGTAGCAATAACTAGGTGAACTGCTTCAACTGGCGAAACTGCTTGAGTATGATATCCATGAGCCATCTGCTCTTGAGTGTGAGTAGCGGGAGTCTGAGCTCCTCCCCTATCCTAAGAGATGGCTGGTGCCATAGGAAACACACTGATCTGGGCCACACTCTCCATAAAGCCAACCAGGTGGACTAGGGCATCCTGAAGTACGGAGGTAGCAATGAACCCCTCTAGGACCTAATCCGGTCCAACTGGCACGGTCTGAAAAGAGATCTACTCATCCTGCTCGATTTAAGGCTCTGCAATAGGTGGTGTTGTACGGGATCTATATTGAGTTAAGCCTCTACCTCTAGCTCTGCAATGGTAGTGGCAACAACCTGGGGCTTTGGCTCCTGATCAGCTGTGGATATCGTATGTGTCCTCACCATCTGTGAGAAAATAAGAATAGAATGATTCAATCTCAATGATAGATTAAAGTCGCATGACAGAGAAAGAAAGAAGGTGAAATTTCCTAAAGCCTTATAGTCTCTAGAAGATACGTACAGACGTCTCTGTACCAATCCTCAAAGACTCTACTAATCTTGCTCATGACTCGTGAGACCTACGCAACCTAGTGCTCTGTTACCACATGTCGCGACCCAAAATCTGAACCAATCTTGATCGTGATGGCGCCTAACACTGCTTGCTAGGACAGCTAACAAAATAAGATAATACGGAAAGGAAAGCAAAAAATATCTGATAACTAATCAATAACATAATGGTAAATCACCCCAAGATTTGGTGTCACGAGTACATGAGTGTGTAGATCAAGCTAAATACGTATAGTTTTCAAAAAATTTACAAGAATTTTTTCTCGCTCTATTAGATCCCCTATGCTATACACCATCCAAAAATCTTCGCAACTTCCACCAAATTTGATTCTTCTTCATCTCTCCATCAACATAAAACCCGGTTTGCTTCCCCCAAGTTCTTTTATAATGTATTATCGTATAATATGTATTATCGTGTATATATATATATATTGTCATGCTCCATCTGTTTCAATTTGTGTGAACATTTTTCTTTTTAGTCTGTGCAAAAAAGAATGACTTCTTTCCTTATTTGGAAATAAATTTATCTTTATGCAATGATTTATAGCCACAAAAAATATATGTGTATTATTTTACTCCACATGTTTGAAAATCATCTATTTTTTTCTTAAATTTCATGTCTAATCAAATAGGTTCACATAAATTGAAATAGAGTGAGTATATTTTAATTATATAACATATAGTGTATATACAAAATATATAGTATACAATACATTAATGGAGAAATTGGAAAAAAGAATTTATAAGGTAGATACTTTTAGGTAAGAGAGATATATTAGTATATGTTTTAGGTGAGAGAATCTCAAGAGAGATATACTAGGGATATGAAAAGTTGTGAATTTTAAAATAAATTATATTATATATAATTTTGTGAAAGTAATTGTAGAAAATTTGAATAAGTGTTAAAAAGATATTATTCTATGTAAATTATTTCACCACCATTTAAATGTTGACCTTGTTTGGAAAAAAAAATTGCGGCTAAGTATTAGGTTTCAAAGTCCTGACGAATGGTCAGAAATTCAAATTGTGGAGCAAAACGTGCGGATTGCTAGGCTTTGTGGCCAAATATATCGTTCATTTGGCAAATCCACATGAGAAGAAATTGCCTTATCATAAATAGTTTTGTATACATTGTTTTGGGTAAAAATTGCAGGGGCGCTCTATTTGGTCGCATTCATTTAATTTATACCCATTTTTTTTAAAAAGTTTTAACTTGTACCTTTTTTTAAACAATTCAGCTCTATTTCTCTTTCTCCCTCTCCTCCTTCGTTTTCTTGCTCTTCTTCTTTCTTTTTTTTTTAGGTTGTGTGCTGTATTTGAAGGAAAAGAAAAAGGGAGAAATATTGGCATGAGCTGTCACAGTAAAGAGTTATGTCGGCTTCATGTCAAAGAAGAAGAGATACACATTACACTCATAGCTACTGTTCCTATTACAACTTGGCCCCCTGCTTTATATGATTAAGTGCACTCTTGAGTGTTGAGTTCCGAATTCTTTTTTATAAGTATTATTTTATGTTATTGTTTTGTTTATTGGGTTTCGATTTTCTTAATGAGTTTTACTTTTCTTTTGCTTTTTCTTTCTGCTAGATATGTGAACTGAATTAGAAGATTTGACCACTGACAGACTTGGATCGTAACATTGGACTGGGACTTGCACCTTCTGTGTTCATGAATCCAGTAGAAGCTAGTTCTTTCATGTAAGATGGAACTGTGAAACAAATAACTAGAGATGAATATAGATGCTTACATATTTTCATGTGTGAGACAAGAGCAAATCAGAAAAACTCGTCAGTTACAAAACAAAAACTTCAGCTCTAGAGCTGAAGTTCGCCAGTTATAAAACAAAACTTCAGCTCTAGATCTGAAGTTCGCCAGTTACAAAAACAAAAACTTGAGCTCTAGAGCTGAAGTTCGCTAGTTAAAAAAACAAAAACTTCAACTTTAGAGCTGAACTTCAGGCCCGACTACTAGAATGCTAAAGTTTTGCGTGATTGTCTTTGTTACTTCAGCCCCGTATGCTGAAGTTATGCGAAAAAGCGGGTACGCTTGCAATTTTTTTTGCAAAACAGACTTAAGTCATAACATACTATTTAGTATCCAGTATACTATTGTTATGGTGTTCTGATATTTATATAGTATACCAAGATTAATGTTTAATTATGTTATTCTAATATTTTTGATATACGGCATATTGGTATACCATGATTAATGTTAAATCACAGTATATTTTATTTGAGTATATTAAATAATATACCTAATATTCTTGGTGTACTACATATTGATATACCATGATTAGTGTTGAACTATAGTAATCTTATAT